AAATTTCTTTATGAGGTTTTTGGGGTCTGCTATATAGAGTATCATGTCATCTGCAAATAGTGATCATTTCACGTTTTCCTATCTATATTGCTTTTATTTTTTATTGTGTCTAATTGCTCTGGCTAATGTTTCCAGCACTATGTTGAGTAGCAGTGGTGACAGTGGACATCCTTGTCTTGTTCTTGATTTTAGAGAGAAAGCTTTCGGGTTTTGACCATTGAATATGATATTAGCTGTTAGTTTGTCAGAGACGGCTTTTATAAGATTGAGTAAAGACCATCTATTCCAGCTTTCTGTAGGATTTCTTTTTATCACGAATGAGTGTTGGGCTTTGTAAAATGCCTTTTCTGCATCTATTGAGACGGTCACGTGATTTTTGTCTTTGCTTCTGTTAACATGGTGTATCACATTTATTGACCTGTGTATGTCGAGCCAGCCCTGCATGCCTGGGTGAATCCCACTTGGTCGTGGTGTAAGATCCGCTTGGTTTGTTGAATTCTGCTGGCCTGTGTCTTATTAAGGGCTTTTCATCCATGTCCACTGGGGAGCTTGGCCCAGTCGTTTTCTTGCTGGCTTGTGCTGTTCTCTGGTTTTGGAATCAGGATAATACTTGCTTTCAGGAATGACTTTGGCTTCCCTGTCAATTTCTTGAAAGGGTTTCAGCATTAGTGAGCTTAATTCTCTCAATTTCTTGTAGAATTCATCAGTGAATCCACCTATCAGGGCCTGGGATTTTCTTTGTTGATAAATTTTAAGTTACATTTAAATTTCATTGGCGGATACTGATTTATTCAGAATCTTTAAATATCTTTGATTTAGCTTCGGCAGACTGTGTCTAGGATTCCGTCCACCACCTCTGTGTGTTCCACCTGATTCGAATGCAGGTTCTCAGGGCAGGTGCCGATGATCGCCTGGATTCCTGCGGTGGCTGTGATTCCCCCACTTTCATTCCTAATGGCTTGAATTTGTGTTTTCTCCTCTCCTTTTTTTGCTGAGATTGCCTAAAGATTTACCTATTTTATTTAACCTTTCAATTCATTGATTCTTTGTTCTGTTTTGTCAGTCTCTATTGCACTAAATTCTGCTCTGATCTTTATAATTTATTCCCTCATGTGAGCCTGGGGTTTGACTTATTTTTCTTTTTCTAGAAATTTGAGATTCAACGTGAGGTTGTTCATTTTGTTTTCCTGATGTGCGAGTTCATGGCCATAAATTCCCGCCGTAGGAATTTCTTTCATTGCGTCCCATGAGTTCACTGTTTGCTGTTTAATTTCGTTTTTAATCTCCCCTGTGACCCATCGCTTGTTCAGCAGGGTGCCGTTTAATTTCCAGGAGCTATTGTTGCTTTTGTCTTTCCTTCATCTCCGATTCCCATCTCGGTGGGCCAAGGTCAGATAGCATGGTGGGGTGACTTCAGCCCTCTGCACTGACTTAACCCTGTGTTGTCCGCTAATGTGGGCGCTGTGTGGGAGACCGTCCCACGGGCAGCTGAGAAGACTGCGCGTTCTGATGTCCTGGGTGGATGGAACACGCTGTAGACGTCCACCAAGGCCATTTGTGCACAGGTCTGGTTTAATTCTAATATTTCTTTGCTGACTCCGTCCAGTTGGTCTATCCGTTTGTGAATGTGGGGTGCAGAGATCCCCACTGCTGCTCGCCCTGCCCGGTGGCTTCTTTCTGTTGGTGTTGCTGTGTTTGTGGTCACTGTTATCTTTTCCTAATAAGTCTTCAGAGCACTGGGTCTCTGTTATTTGAAGCTCCCAAGCCAGGTACTGGAGGCTGAGGCAGGAGGATGGCTTAGTCTGAGCAACTTAGTGACTTAAAAAAACCTCTGTTTTAAAATGAAAGATAAAAGGGGCTGGGGACCTGGGTTATCGTGTTTTTATGTATGCTGTGCAAATATATATGCACTTTTTCAAATTTCTTTCTTTACTTTTTTCTTTCTTTTTGTTTTTGAGGTACGGTCTCGCTGTGTAGTTCCAGCTGACCTTGAGCTCAGTCTGCAGCCAGGCTGGCCTCAAACTGTCAGCAACCCTCCTGCCTCAGCCTCCCGAGTGCTGGGACTTCAGGCACCACAGCACCTGTCTTGATTTTGTATCCCTCTGCATTGCTGAATTTGGCTATTAATTCTAGGGCTCTATTGGTCAGATTTTTTGGATCAGCGTGTCAATTGCAAGTAATGATAATTCAACTTCTTTTTTTAAAATTAGTCATTTTATTTCTTTCTCTTGCCTGATTGCTCTGAGTAAAGTTCGGAGTATTATCTAGAGCAGGAATGGAAATGGTGGATATCTCTACCTTATTCATGATTTTAGAGGGAAAGCTCTTAGCCATTCCCCATTTTATACTATGTTCATAGTAGGTTTTTCATAAATAACTCTCATTGGGTTGAGAGAGACACTTTCTATACCTTCTTTAAAAAGCAGGTGCTTTTTTTTATCTTAATGCATGTTGAATTGTTTTTTGTTTTAAACCGGTACCAGGGATCGAACCCACGACCACATGCTTGCAAGGCAGGTGCTTATGCCGCTGAGCTAAATCCCCAGCATGTTTGCCAGCATCTCGCTGAGCATCTTTGTGTCTGGGTTCCTGAACGAGACTGGCCTGCAGTCCTCTTTTCTGACTGTGTCAATGTCTGGCTCTGGAATCTCTGTCCTGGGGGCTCCCAGGGCTGCCTTTGGGAACCCCCTTTCCGTTTTCATTTGATGAAAGAATTTGGGGAGTGTTTGCTTTAGATCTTCCTTAAAGTTCTTGTGCAATTCAGCTGTGAATCTGCCAAGTTCTGGGTTTTACTTCATTGATAGTATTTTTAACTGTTCAACTTACTTGCTGTGACTGAACTGTTCATGGTGTTTATTTCTTCTTGGTTCCGTGCTGGTGATGCGCAGGTATCCAGGAACGCACCGTTTCTTCTGGCTTCTCCAGTCTATCAGAGCACAGCTTCCCTCCTGACTTTCCGCTGGATTTTGAGGCTGTTTCTTGTGATTTCGCCTTTTTCTTCTTCTAACTGCATCGATGTGGATCTTTTCGTTATCTCCTGGTTTGCTTATTTTGCTTATTCTTTCCAAGAACTATTTTTGAATCGTAAACTCTTTTATGTTTGGTTTAATTAATCTCTGCTTTGATTTGTGTCATTTCCTCCCTCGCCCTAACTCTGGTTCTGGATTGCTCTTCCCTTGCGCGACCCTGAGGTGCACCGCAGGTCTGGTCTGGACTCTATTTTTGTGACGAGGGCATTTGCAGTATAACTTTCCCTCTCAGAGCTGCTTTCATTGCATCCCACAGGTGCTGGCGTGTTGTTCTAGGATGACTGGTTGATTGTAAGAACTTCGTAGTTTCTTGATTTTACGTGATTGTTTCGTGATTCAAGAATGTATTGTTCACAGCACCTGCCTGGCAAGTGCGAAGTTTTGAGATTGACTCCCGGTTCCAAAATCAAAACCAAAATCAAAAGCAAGAGTGTATTATTGAATTTCCACATTTCCAGATTTTCTGTGGTTCTTTCTGTCATTGGTTTCTAATGCGCGATAAACTATGAACCACAATAAGTCTCTTTTATTCATTTTTATTTATTTTCTGTCTTTTTTCAGACAGGGTCTCGCTGTGCAGTTCAGGCCGGCCTCGAGCTCACTGTGCAGCCCCGGCTGGCCTGAACTTGCGGCGATCCTCCTGCCTCGGCCTCCCGAGTGCTGGGATGACGGGTGTGAGCTACCGTGCCCGGCCGGTCTCTTTTTTCTAACTTACTTAGTCTGTGGTTTTGTTGGGAACAAAAATGAACTGAACCCAAAATGGGGATTGACAGAGCTAGAGATAGGGATGCGGAGGACGGAAATAAAGCAAATGGGTTAAAATGGTAACAAATCAGGACAAACGGCACTCTCAATTCTTAGCAGATTTCTTCCAGCACTGCTGACCGAACCCGGGATCTCCGCTCTCAGCTACATCCCCATCCTTTCTACTTTATTATACATTTTGAGACAGGATCTAGGCTCCATCACACCCAACTGTGCCTTGTTTTTAAATTTTGAATCCTTCCCACATAGCGACTTTCAAAAATCATGGCTTCTGTGGGCTCCGAGTCTCCCCTCGCTGCCGGCTTGCCGGACCTCCGGGATGCAGCCCGATCCTCTCCCGCCACTGAAGACAGCTGCGCACACCCACGTGGAACCCGCCGGTCTCGTCTGTCCTCGTCACCGCTGACCCTCGGTGCTGTCAGATGCCATCAGCACCACCCTCCCTTGTGCCTGCACCTCGAAGTTTTATTAAGGGGTGCGGTACACCCCTCTGCCAGCGCGGGCCTCGAGCTGCTGCTCAGGGTTAGATGTTACCCCGGGCGGCATGGATGTGACCCCACCAGCTCGGTCTTGGTACCAAATGGGCTCCTCACCCCGGAGTCTCCCGGGGACGGACGCTGTGTGGCTTCCCGAACTGCTCACCACTCGGGACCATCACTGTGTCCAGGGCAACGCTGATCTGCCTGTTTTTCCTGATTTCTCCCCTTTCATTCATTTTTATTGGTTTTTTTTTTTTTTTTTTTTTTTTGTCTTTTTTCCTTTTTATCGGTACCGGGGATCAAACTCACGACTGCCTGCTTGCAAGGCAGGCTCTTATGCCGCTGAACTAAATCCCCAGCCCCAATTTTTATTGGTTTTACAGATGGGTGAGTTGCGTGACAGCAGGCTAGTTCACGCACATACATACTGTGATCATTTCCACGCCGCCCTGTTTTTAATACTGTTTTCCCCAGCATTTCACATCATACCTACGCACCCTCTTTTCTTAGGGCTTTGCATGACTTTATGGTTTCTTTTATTTTTACCGGCAATCAACCCCCAGGGTGCCCTAATTTGTCAGCCTCCTGCCTCAGCCTCCTGAGCCACTGGTCCCCACACCAGCCTGGGTTTGCGTTCGAAATCCTGGACTTGGAGGAGAAAAGGCAGATGTCTTTTGCCCGTCGAAGCAAGCTGTGCTGGGCTTTGCTTCCTCATCAGACACTCGTATCAAGAAAACTGGAAAACACATTTATTTACAGATGCAGCCCAAGCAAGCAGGCGCTGGTCAGGAGCGGACCCACTGGATGCCGAAGAAGGTCTGGTCGGCGTTTGGGGAGGGCAGCAGCGGCAGGGTGAGGTTGGTGCACAGGACGTCCCCGCGGGCCAGCGGCGTCAGGCGCTGGGAGGCCACCGTGCAGCCCCGGCCGAAGCCCAGGCGCAGCAGGCTGATGCTGCGGGTGGCCGAGCAGATGCCCACCGCCAGGGTGGCGTTGTGGTGCCTGACGTCCCTCGCGGAGGAGCACCTGGCCAGGGTCACCTGGATGTGCAGCTGGTAGATGCCGTCGCGGTGGACACGCAGCTGCCCGTCGTCCAGCGCCGGTCCGTGCAGGAAAGAGCGGCCCAAGGATGGGTCCCCCTGCCAGCGCAGCCTGGGGTCCTGCCTGGGACCTGGGGCGGAGGGGCAGAGGATGGGGGGCAGGTCAGGACGCTGGGTGTTCCTGGAGGTGGCCTGACAGGGACAGGGAGGGAGAGGGGCGGGGAGGGATCTAAAGGGAGAGGAACCCTAGCAGCCCTGGGCCAGGCTTGGGATCCCAGGTGCTGGAAGCTGAGGCAGGAGGGTCACCAGTAAAGCGACTTAGGGACCTACAGGGCGGACTCCCTACACACACATACCATTAAAAAGGACCAGAAATGTAGCTCAGCGAGAAGGCCCTGAGTCCAATCCCAGGGCGGCTAAGTCAAAGGGGCAGTACGGAGGGGAAAGCGTCCACCCGTGCCCAGCAGAGAAGGTTCCAGAAAGGAAGCTGAGCCGGGGAAGAAGAGTCTTCCCTCGGGGCGCCCCGCAGCCTGGCGACCCACCGTCCGTCCTCTGGTCCTCCTGCGCCCGCTCAGAGGGGCCGCCCCACCCGCCCTGGGGTGCCCCACTCGCCCTGGGGTGCCCCACCTCTCCGAGGCCCCCTCTGCGGCCCTGCGGCCCTCCCGCCCCGCCTCTCTCTGCCCGCTACCGCGCACGGCGCTGCGCTGAGCCCGGCGCCCAGCTGCCCGGCGCGCTGGGCTTTCTGACGCCTGTTCCGGTCAGCGCAGCACCGAGGAGGCGCTGTCTGTTTTAGTTGTTTTGGGGTTTTGTTTTTTCCAAGAAGGGGAGTGAAATGCACAGAAGTGAAAGGGCGAGGGGGGCGCCCACAAACGACAGGCGCGGCTCCCCCCTGAGCTCGCCGGTCTGTTGCTTTCTCTCTCTGGAGCGCGGTGGCCCCAGGTCCCGGCACTTCCTCCTCCTCCCCCGCCCTCTCCTCCACCGCTTTCTCCTCCACCCTCCCGCGCTTTCCGTCCCCCCCCCTCCCTCTCACGCTCCGCACCCCGCAGCCCGCCTCACCTGTGAGATTCAGCTGCAGCTCCGCCGCGTCCCTCTGCAAGGAAAACCCAGAACTCAGCGGAGGACGTGAGCCAGGGGCCGACCGTGCCCTAGGACTCCGTCCTGTGCCTGCCTGTCCCCCGCCGGCACCGGCACCAGCACCGGTTCTGTTAGCATCCTACTGCGGTGCACGGTCCGAGCCCACCGTGCAGAGCCTGAGCTCCTGCACACACACCGCAGCCCCGGCCCCCATGCCCCGCACCCCTTCCCTCTCCGCGCGCTCTGCCTCCCTCCCGGCTTCCCCGCCGCTTTGATTTTTGCCCCGAGTTACGAATGCTCTGGGTTTCTCCAATAAGACACCCCAAAGAGAAAGTCACTCTGAACCCTCGGGGAGCAGCCAGGAGAGACCGGGAGGACCCCCCAGAACCCGAGTCCCTGTCCTGCCACAGCAGCTCACGCCAGGGTCCAGGACCCGAGTCCTGGGGAGTCCATGGGACCTCCATTGCGAAGGTCGTGGGAACCTGGGGTCCCAGAGCCCCCCCCAGCCATAGGTGACCCCCCATCTCCCCGGCTCCCCCGGCTCCCGGGGTGGGGGCCGAGCACCCCTGCGCCCCGTTCCGCACTCACCCCGAGCTGCCCCGCGACGAGCCGGGTGCTGAGGAGGAAGGAGGCCGCCACGGAGGCGGCCACGCCGAGCAGCAGACCCAGCGCCGGCCCGGGGCGCACGGCCCTGCACAGGCGGGGCCCCCAGCCGCCGGGTCCGGGCGCGCCCCCCTGCTCCTGCTCCATGGCTGGGCGCACGCGCCCGCGGACCCCTGTGCCCTCCGGTGGGGCGCTCACATCGCTGCGCCGCCGAGCAGCAGCCGGACTGCGGGGGGGCCCCGCCGGCTCCGCCTCCCGGGAGCGGGGTGCGCCTGCAGGGCGGGGCGGGGCGGGGCCGGAAACCGAGCTGCGCGGCCCCCACCCGGCTCGGCCCAGCTGGGCCGGGCGCTGGCCGGCCTGCCGTCCGTCTGTCTGTCTGCCTGTCTCTCAGTGCCCCTCTCTTACTCTGTCTGTCTGCCTGTCTCTCTGTCTCTCTGTCTGTCTGTCTGTCCCTGTCTCTTTCTCTCTGTCTCTGTCTCTGTATCTCTGTCTCTCTGTCTCTGTCTGTCTGTCTGTCTGTCTGCCCCTGTCTCTTTGTCTCTGTCTCTGTATCTCTGTCTCTGTGTCTCTGTCTGTCTGTCTGTCCCTGTCTCTCTCTCTCTGTCTCTCCATCCTCGGAGCCCTTGAGGTTGGGGCAGCTCCCCCACTGACCCGGACCCTGGCCCAGGACCGGCGCGGGTGCCGCCTCCTCCCGGAGCCTCTCTCATCCCCGCCCCCCGTGAAGTTCCGCTGGGTGAACAGATGGGGGGCCTGGAGCCCGTCTCCCCTTCCCTCCCCCCGCCCCCCCCCCTCCGCTCCTAACTCGCACCTGGAGAAAACGCGCGGTTTCCGCTCAGCATCGCGGACTCGGGCGCATCGGTGCGCACAGACGCCCCGATCGATCGATCGATCGATCGCAAAGCGGGAGCCCCGCCCGGGGGTTTCCTGGAAGCCGCGCTGGGGGCCGAGCACCTGGGGCACCCGGGCTCGGGGGTCACTGCGGGCCCCTTTCCATTCCCACCCGCACCCCACACCACCCGTACCCCACTGCACCCCATCCCCACCCCACCCCTGGAGCCCCCCCCCCGCCTCTGTCCCCTCCCCCCTCCCTCCCTCCCCGACCCCGCGGCGCCCCAGCACTGAGCCGAGCTGGGGGCACAGCGCCCCCTGCCGGGCGGCGGCCTCCCCGCAGCGTCCAGCGGCCCCGCGGCCCAGGAGGGAGGTCCGGTCCCATCCGGTCCAGTTCTCCCGGCTCCGGTCCGCTCTCCCACGGAGGAGCGTGGGTGCGGTCGGCGGGGCTCGCGCGGCCCCTGAGTTCACGTGTACGTATGCGTGCACGTGTACATGTGTGCGTGCACGTGTGTATATGGGAGGGACAGGTGTGCACCACTAGCCCAGCAAGGGTAAGACACTCTCAAGGTTTGTATCGTCCTTCAAAAAAAGCCCAAAGGCTGGGGTGCAGCTCACTTGTATACCACATTCCCAGCACCCCAAAAACCAGTCACCCAAAACAGAGCATGCAGAGGAGGGTACATCATAAGCAACAGACTCAGAAAGCCTGGCTGCGAATCCAGCCGCTGTCCACCTCTGGCTTCATGCAGTGCAGTCCTTAACCCTCTCTGAGCCTGAGTTTCCTTATCTATAAAATGGGATAGTAACGGAGCCAGAGTCTCCAGATGACCATAAAGAGCAGAGCTTGGACCACAGGGCCAGATGGCCTGAGTTGCCAGCTCCAAGCAGGGCCTGACAGTGCACTCCGGTCATCCCAGCGCTCCAGGAGACACAAGCAGGAGAATACCAATGTTGTGTAGTCTGATTTCAAGCACAGCCAGGGTAATTTACTGACTTAGTGAGCCCCCATGCCAAAAATGAAAACGCGTTTCAAAAGGCTGGAGCTATAACTCACTGCAAAGACCCTGGGTTCCAGCCCAGTACCACGAAAACAATGCCCTCCTCTGGGCCTAGGATCACTTGCCTGGCAGGTTCGAGGCCCTGGGTTCCATCCCCAGCATCACAACATAACAGGAAACAGACCTCAACTCTCCCCGCTCCTAGCTGTGTGGCCTCTGGCAAATTACTTGACTTGTCTGTGCCCCCAGTCCATTGTCCACAGGCAGAGACAGCTCAGAGGACCGGCGTGAAGGTTAGCAAAGGGCACACACATACAACGTCAGGACCGCGCTGTCATCACAGGAGTGCGAGCTCTTACACAGGAGAGGTTCAGGCTTGAAGGACACGGGGCTGGGCACAAAGGGCGCCACAGGCAGAGGGGAGCTGGAAGAGGGAAATGTCACCGGAGCGGAAGGGAGTGCCTGTCAGTCACGCGGGAGGGCAGGCGGCATTTCAGAGAATTTCAGCTGGGCTTTTGTCAAGTTCCCGGGGTGGGTTCCACTCCGTCCTCCTCCCCTCCACTGTCCCCTTCCCTTCCTCTGTCTCTCCATCCTTCTCTCTTTATTTCCTTCCTTTGGTTTATTTTTGTGCAGTCACAAACCGTGGGTGGAGCCCGGGGCCTTTGCACCCAGGATTTTATGTTTTTATTTGAAGACAAGGTCTTGCTGAGCAGCCCAGGAGGGCTGGAAGCTGGGGTGACGGGTGTGTGCCGCGTTTAAAGTTCGCCTCCGCCCAGTGCTTTCTGGTGTGGTCACAGCTGTGTCTATCGCCACGTGAACTGCAGGGTGTTTTCGTGGTTCTCCAAAGACACCCCAGGTTCACACAGTGATTCCCTGAGGCCCCTCGCTCCACCGCGATGGGCAGCATCATGAGTTACATAGCCGGGCTGTGGGCACCAGGGGTTTGGTCAGACATTACTGTGCGTGCGTGTGTGTGCGAGTGTGTGCGTGTCGGGGAGGTGTTTGGTGTGCGATGAATATTTGAAGTTAAACTTAACACTGGGCAGGCTTGACAGAGGCCTCCCAAAGTGGAGAAACCTCCAGTCCGCCCATGGAGTAGAGTTATGGACTTTTGCACCGAAAAAATAAATTTTCTTCAAGATGTGTCAGTGACTGGTTTGGTTTGGTTCGGTTCAGTTCGGTTCGGTTTGGTTCAGTGTAGTAGTTGGATGCTCAACTGAGCTACATCTCCACACTTTTCCTTTTTTAGTTTTAATAAAAGGCCTCCCTAAGCTGCCCAGGCGAGGCTCAAACTTAACCCCTCTTGCCTCAGCCTCCCGGAGCGTTGGAATGACAGGGTTGCACCAGGGAACCTGGCTCACAGGCAGGCTTACTAGAAAGAGTTGTAAAGCCAGGGTGAGGGGGAGGAATCCAGCTGGACCATCTGGAGGGGCCCATGGTACAGGGGTTCACACAGGCCGGCCTTGACAGGTCAGCCAAGTGAGCAGCGTTGGTCAGTCCGGAAGCCTTACGCCTTAATGAGCTGTTGAGTCCCATCAGATACACAAAGGGCTGCGTCAGACCCTGCGTCCCAGGGAAATGGGAGGGCAGAGCTGGCTGCCAGTGGGACAGCTGCTAGTACAACAGACCATCAACAACATGTCCCACAGACCCTTTCCAAGATTTGAAACCACAGGACGCTAGGGAAGAGCTTCAAGTGACTCACCACGTCACAGAAATCCGAAAGGGCTCACGGTGGTCTAGGGCACCCTGGCTGTTCTTACCACAATGGGTGCGGGGATGAATTGTCCTGTGCCCGCGTGATGCCTTCCGGCCAGGGTGGAGGCCCCAGGGCTGTGATGGCACCTGGCTCTTCATGACATTTGGAGTCCATAACACCCAATATGCTAGATACCACTTTGGGCGTGTGGAGGTTTCCCTGCCAGGTCAGCCTGAGTTCCAAAGAGATAAGTGGCCTTCACAAGGACGTGACTCAGCCTTGATGGGTCCGCCCAGCGGGCTAATGGACCTTCTTTAACATCTAGGGAGGTAGAGCAGACTCACCAAATCCTACGCCAACCTTAGACAAACTGTGCCGAGGAACCCACATTCAGTGGACTCACCAGCTCCAAGTGCCCCGAGGTGGCTTTCTGTAGCTCCTAAATTGGGCCTCAAGTCCAGTCCATGCGAGGTGGGCTATGGGAGACTCAGACTTGCTGATAACCTCAAACTTCTCAACCGATCCAATATGGCACCCACTAAGGGCAATTTCAGCAGGCTTTCCTGGATGATAGCAACCAAGTTCTTCCCCTCCCAGGGAAAAAGCTTTCATGCTCATCCCAGAGAAGGCCAGGAGATCAGATGAAACCTGGAAAGAAACTGGGCCCCAATGGCAGCTCCTTCCAAAGTGGAGAGGCAACTACCAGGTCGCCCTGACCATGCCTCGGCCACTAAGTGCAGGGATATTCCTTGACAAGTTTCTGTTTTCATCCTAGCCGTCTGGTGTTCTGGAAGCCTCGCTTACTTGTATGTTGAGTTTTTTCTTTATATTTGGGAAATTTTCTACAATGATTTCTGTAAACATCTCAATAATGATCACATTCAACATTGCTTGTCCATGTACATGGCACATATTATTAATGTCCCCCCTCCTTCCCTCCCTCCCCTCTTTCCCTCCCTCCCCAGCTTTTCCCTAACCTCACCTGGCCCAGGGTGTCTCCTTAGAATCATCTAGAATCTTCTAGAACGTTCTGGATGGTCTTCCTGTTCTCTGGTTTTCTCTGTGACTTCTCTGAGTCCTTTGTTACTTTATCATTTTGTCCTCAATTTCAAGCACTTCACAGCGGTCACCTTGGCAACTTCTGAATTCCACAGTTTTTTTATGTCAAGTATTTCTGTCCGGTATCTTTTTGTGGTTGTGTATCATTTGTAAATTTGTCATTCATGCTTTCAAATATTTTGGTCAGCTCTTCTAATTTTTTTTTTTTTTACTTTAAATCGATATTGGGCATTTTGAGTGATAATTTCATGAACTTTTGAGTCATTGGCTCTTTAAACAGCACATTTCTTCGTCTCTTTTCATAGATTTCTGCCACCTGGTAGTTGTTTTTCTCTGTGTTCATGCCCCCCCGGGCCTGCCTTAGGGGAGCAGAGAGGCTGGGGATCTCCGGCTGCCTCGCCCTCCACGATCCCTGTGTCTCTGCATCTGTTTTGCAGGTTGAGGCCTAATAAGATGGCGAGAGCGTGCAGGTTACAGGCAGAGGTTTAGTAAGACGCTGCCCCTCTGAGATGCATTTCCAGCTTTACCTACAGAGACAGTATTTTACCTCCAGAGACAGTATTTTACCTCCAGGGACAGTATTTTCCCTGGCAGTTATTTAACTTAAGTGACCTGGGCTCCGTCTCTGTTCTGCACAAGGAATTCCTTCCAGATACAACAGCACTGACAGATGGAATCACGCGTCTCCTTACACGGATGCCTCACCCTTGAGCTCGCCTCTCTGAGGACTTTGTTCATTTATGGTTAGTAGTTGTTCTGCAGGGTAAGAGGACAGAAAGGGAGAGATTAAAGGGTAGTTAAAAGAGGAGTGTACAACAGTAACAGAGATTGGGGGTGGTAATGGGAGATGGTGAGAAAGAAAGTTTGATACGGCCTGAATCAGACTCCTGTCCAGTTTATACCTAGCAAGATGACTGTCCTTCAGGAGACCCGGGCAGAGGACAGGGAGGCTTGGGGGTGTGTAGCCAGGAGAGACCCAGAGGGGCAGCTTACAAGAATTTGCTGTAACGGACGTTACCCAGTCCTCTCCCCCACAGTGATTTCTAATTAAGACCAACAGGTGCAAGTTCCCCGGGGAATCCCGAGAACCAGAGATGGTCCCCACAGGAGACTTGTACCCTGGGAGACGGGAGCTAAGTCACTCACAGAGGAAGGCATCAGCATTAGGAGGTAGACAGCACAGATGTTTAAAATCGATCAGATTGGGGAACCAGGGTTAATGTGCCAACTGAAAGCTGCAGGCTGACTCAGCCTTGCTTCTGGTAAGACAGGATGAAAGGCAGAAATGAAACACCCAAGGGCTCTGAGCAAACAAGTGGGACTTCCGTGCACAGCCAGAAAAACGATTTTACAAGAGACATCGAGTGGGGGGCACCGCCCCACAAGGCTGCCCCTGCTTCAGAGGCCAACATGCAAGGCCAGGACCACGGCACCCAGCTGGCTTTGAATCAGGATCCGGGAAGAACCCGCTTCCCTTGACCAGAATTATGAAGGATGCCATAAAACAGTGATGGCGAACCTCCTGGAGCTTTCCATGATGACAGACATCCAGCTGTGGCACGCGTGCCGCAGGTTCGCCACCACTACTGTCAATCTGCGGGTGGAGAGGTGCCCGGGAACCCTGCAGGAGGGCACCAAGCTCCTGTGACTTCTCCGGACTCGCCGTCCTCCGGGAGTCTCCCGTGGAGTCCGTTCTCTACATCTCCAAACCTGGTCCTATGAAATTAATAGAACCCCCTTTCCGATGGGTTCTGTTTTCAACACTAACTTCCGTGTTCTTCTTCCAAGCCGAAATGTAACTGCCTGCTTTTAGGGGAGTGCGCATGCGCAACAACATTCCCCCAATCAGCTGTCGATACGTCATTCTGCCCGCCCCCTCAAACTCCACCCCCTGTCAAACCTTATAAAAGCCCCAGGGCTTCTTTGCCTGCCGCACAGGGGCACAGGGATCATGCACTCTGCTGCAGCTCTCCAGTGCCTGCAATAAAGTCCTGTTTTCTTTTTTCCCTCTTTCTGCGCTTGCTTTTCTATGGTGCCAAGGAAAAACTTCCTGATGTAGAAACTATTATTTAAATAATTGACCACTGGCGATAGACTAACCCTCCCTGGACCCTGGTGTGGGCCTGGAAGTTTCAACACTTTAGCCCTGACCAGGCTTTCTGCTGACCAGCCTCTATCTTGAGCCCGCTACAGGGTGTCAGAACTGGTTAATTCAGCATATTAAAATTTCACAGTCACCTTTTAAAAAAAATCACTATGTGTCTTACATAGGCATTATATTCAGGTATTCTGTAAACCTGAGCTCTGTGAGCCTCTTCTGGGATGTTAGTGTTCTCTTAGATTTCCCTCTGTCCCTAATCCATTTGTCCATTTCTTTACTTTGGTGACACTTGATTCTCCACGTGATCATTCAAGTTTAATCCTGTTAGAAGGGACATTAGGATCAACGTCTGTGCAGCTCTAGGAGCAGTACTAGTCTAACAAGGATGGGGCTCGCTAGTGTCTCCTCTCCAGAAGCTGAACCCTAAATTCAAATGGAGGGTGAGGAGGCATCAGATGACAAAAATTCACTGTGAGAGCCCAGCACAGTGGCTCACCTGGCATCCCAGCACTCTGGGAGGCAGAGGCAGGAGGATTCCAAGTTCAAACTCAGGTCAACAAGTCAAACCCTGACTCCAAATTAAAAAATGGAAAAAAAGAGGGCTAGGGATGTAGCTCAGTTTGTGAGTTTTGTTTTAATTAGGACACAGGTGCAGTATCCTGTGAGGGGTTGGTGTGTGTACAGCATGCGTCTTAATTTCTTGTTTTACCCCCTTTCTCTCCCTCCCTCTACCTCCTGGTCCCCTTCCCTCTGGCTCCCTGCTTCCCATTATCTATCTTTTATGTTGCTCCTCACTTACAGTTGGGGTTTCCCTAAGGAGAGGACCCATGTGATACCTCATCTGGTGTACCTGCCTTCTTGCAGCTCACACTGTGGTCTCAAGCTGCCTCCGCCTTCCTCCAAAGGACTCCAGGACAGTTTCTAGTGATCTTCCAGGCACGGAATCGTTTCCCCTCTTTGCCGAGGAGGAGCACTCCTCTGTGGTCCTGGAGGACTCTGTGGGCCAGGCAAGAGCTCAGTAGGAACAGCGTGTGGTAGCTGTAACAGAGGGAACTGGCGAGAAATGTTTTTGAAAAAGAAAGGAGGATAAATAAATAAACAAGCCTGAGAAGGGGGTACAGAAGTTTTGGTGTGTCTGGATTCAATTCCTGGTCTCTCTCTCTCTCTCTCTCTCTCTCTCTCTCTCTCATGCAATATATAGATATAGATATAGATATAGATATAGATATAGATATAGATATAGATATAGATATAGATATTCAATGTCACTGTAATCAAAACACTGATTCTTTTTGTATCACGAATCAAACTCAGGACCTTGTGATTGCCAGGCGGGTGCTTGTACTGCTGAGCTGCATCCTTGGCCCAAACACTGTGACACGGATATACTAATAGACAAGAGGCAAATGGACTAAATGAAATCCAGGGCTTCCCACTGAGCTGCACCCCGGCTCTTTTTCTTTGCTTTTCTTTCTTGTTTTTTATTTTTATTTTGAGGCAAGTTTTGCTAGCTCAGCCAGCCACTCGGGCTGGGCTTGCTCTTGTGATCCTCTGCTCAATTTCCGGGCTGTGGGGAGCACAGGGATGTGCCACCACGCCAGGCGCTGACCCAACGAATGCACCGGAGGCCAGAACGGCTCTGAGAGGCCCCAACGGTCCCTTGCACGTTGTCCTCACCTCCCCAGCTGAAGTGTGAAATAAAATGATGCCAAAGCAGACACATCTCGCGCTTACCTCTTCCTGCTGGTAGCGGAAACTCATTTCTTGAGCCCCCACGGCCGCTGCTTGTGAGGCACCAGGTATCGCTTGCACACCCATGCAGGGCTGCTGGACGGGCCCCCGTCCTCCGCCGGCCTTTATCGCTCCTCCTGTCTCCTCGCACACACCTCCCTGCTGTCCCCAGAATGGCCGTTCCCAGCCACTCTCAGGCCCCCTCACCATCATGCCTCAGGGAGTGTCCGTGCTGTGTGTGGTCCATGCTGATGGGCATCAGGTGAGGATAATCTCAGCCAGA